ATCAGACTCCCTATAGCTGAGGAATAAGGAATCTTCTGCATTTCTTTAATTTCCAAGTCATTTTTAGGGCACTGACTTAAGCTGAACTTGTCACCTTTAGCCACAGGGGTGTCACATGGTTTACAATCTTGCATGCCATATCTTTTAAGTATCTTTTCGATATAGCTCTTTTGTGATAATTCAAAAATACCCCAAGAACGATCTTGGTGTATCTGAATTCCTAATACAAAAGAGGCATTACCAAGATCTTTCATCTCAAAATTCTTTGCTAAAAATTTCTTGATTTTGTTGATGACAAGCAATATGTCATCAACATATAAAACTAGAAAAATATTTTTGCTCCCATTGAACTTGTGGTATATACAATTTTCGACCAAATTCATCTCAAAATCAAATGAGATGATCACCTGATGAAATTTGTAATACCATTGACGAGACGCCTGTTTGAGTCCATAGATGGATTTCTTTAATTTACAAACCATTTGCTTTGCATCGTCCGATACAAAGTTTTCTGGTTGTACCATATAAATTGTTTCATCAATGTCACCATTGAGAAACGTTGTCTTAACATCCATCTGATGTAGCTCAAGATCGAAATGCGCTACCAATGCCATTATAGTCCTGAAAGAGTCTTTCGAAGAAACCGGAGAGAAAGTCTCTTTATAATCGATGCCTTCTTTCTGTGTAAAGCCTTTTGCGACAAGACGAGCCTTATACCTCTCTACATCACCTTTCGAATCCCTCTTGGTCTTAAATATCCATTTGCAACCAATGGGTTTCGCACCTTCAGGCAATGGAACGAGGTCCCATATGTCATTGTCCTTCATGGACTTTATCTCTTCATTCATAGCATCGAGCCACTTTTGAGAGTTAGAACTTTCCATGGCTTGACGGAAGTTGATTGGATCATCTTCCACCATTCCAATGTCAACTTCATGTTCTTGAAGAAATACGATGTAATCATTCGAAACCCCACTTCTCCTCTCTCTGGTGGATCTTCTTAATGGCATTGGTTCTTGAAGGTGTAGAGTTTGTTCTTCTAGAACAATTTGTTGATCTTGAGAGGGAGGTATGACATTGTCTTGATTCAGAGTTGCTTCTTGAACAATATCAGGGATAGAAACCTGATCATTGTCAATGGCAATTGGAGGAATTTCAACATATTCCTCCTCAAAGACAAAGCCTGTAACCCTTTCTCCCCCCGCAAACTCAACATCCTCAAAGAACCTAGCATTTCCTGTCTCAAAAATTGCCTTAGTTGTGGGATCATAAAACTTGTAACCCTGGACCTTTCAGAATATCCAATGAAATAGCAACTGATGGTCCTTGCGTCCAATTTCTTTTCATTTGGCTTATAGGGCCTTACCTTAGCTGGACACCCCCAAATATGTATATGCTTCAAACTAGGCTTCTTGCCCGTCCAAAGCTCATATGGGGTTTTATCAGTGGCCTTAGTTGGAACTCTGTTGAGTATATAAGCTGCAGTCTTTAATGCTTCACCCCAGAAACATTCTGGTAAGGTAGAATGACTAATCATACTCTTCACCATATCCTTAAGCGTTCTGTTTCGTCTTTCAGCAATACCATTCATAGTGGGCGAACCCGGCATAGTGTACTGTGAGACGATACCGCATTCCTCTAGGAATTTAGCAAACGGACCTGGACGCTTTTCACTTGAACCGTCATATCTGCCATAGTATTCACCCCACGGTCAGATCTGACGCTTTTAATCCTTTTGCCGAGTTGTTTCTCAACTTCAGCTTTATAGTTTTTGAACACATCCAGTGACTGTGATTTTTCATGAATGAGATATATGTAGCCATATCTTGAAAAGTATTCTATGAACGTTATAAAATACTGTTGACCATTCCAAGAACCCGTAGGGAATGGTCCACAAATATCCGTATGTATAAGTTCTAAGATGTCCGAAGTCCTATTGGCTTGAAATCTCCTTTTATTGGTTTGTTTTCCCTTTATACAGTTGACACACAAATCATAGTCTGTGAAGTCAAGAGGGTCGAGAATCCCGTCAGACACAAGTCTCTCAATTCTCCTTTTGGAGATGTGACCTAATCTCTTGTGCCACAATGAGGCAGAATTCTCGTCGTTTAATTTTCGTTTTACACCTCGAGTACTTACATGCAAGGTTTCATTATAAGAAGCAATTGTATCAATTGAATAAAGATTATCGTAACCTGATAAAGAACCGGAACCAACCAATTTTGAATCATGAAACAAACTAAATTTTCCATTTCCAAAAGAACAAGTATAACCAAATTTGTCCAAAACAGAAATAGAAATCAAATTTCGTCTAAAAGGCGATACAATAAATGTCTCAACAAGATCCAAATAAAATCCAGTCTTTAACAATAATCTAAATTTTCCTATTGCCTCTACTTCCAGTCTATTGCCGTCGCCATCATAGATGTATCTTTCACCATCACTTGGTTTTCGGCAACTCAGGCAAACCTGCATAGATATACTGATGTGAGTTGTTGCACCAGAATCTATCTACCATGTATGTCTAGGTACCGAAATTAAATTAACCTCAGAACAAACCAAATGAAGAAGAGTGCTTTTCTTTACACGCCATGCGTGATAATTGGTGCAATTCTTCTTCTTATGACCTGTAGCTCCACAGAAGAAACAACCGCCTTCAGTTGGTTCTTTATGCTGTTTCTTTTGCGGTGCCGTACCTGTAGCTTCCTTATTAATCTTCCTTTTCTTGTTGCTTTTGTCCTTAGAGGTGGTGGCTAAATGAACACTTTCTGTCTTTTCATGCTTCAGTCTTTCCTCTTCCTGGACACAGTGTGAGATAAGCTCATTAAGGGACCATGAGTCCTTTAGACAGTTATAGCTCACCTTGAATTGACTGAAATGTGCCGGAAGGGATATCAGAACCAAGTGCACTAACAAGTCTTCAGATAAATCCAACTTGAGTGCCTTTAGTTTTGAAGCAATGTGAGACATTTCCATAATGTGCTCCCGAATGTTTTCTTTTCCTTTATACCTCATTGAGACAAGATTTGCCAAAAGTGTACTTGTTTCAGCCTTTTCATTCTTGGCAAACCTCTTCTCAAGGTCCTCAAGGAAACCCTTAGCCGTAGTCACCTTATCGGACATAGTGCCCCGAAATGCTTCTGGAATAGCACGCTTCATGAGCATTAAGCTTATGCGGTTCGATCGTTCCCACTTTTCCTTCTCCCTCTTGTCATCAGAGGTACTCTATCAGTAAGTGCAGCAGGTCGATCGACCCGTAAAGCAAGGTCTAGGTCCATGACTCTGAGAACAATCATAACGTTCTCTTGTCATGCCCTGAAGTTTGTGCTATTTAACATTGGAATTGAATTGATGCTAGTAGAGATATTAGCAGCAGAACCTGAAACTGAATTAGAGAATATTTATTATGAATAGCTCACATGAATATCTTTAATATGCAAATAATAATAATAATAATCTCAAATAGTGGTAGGGCCCATCACAAGATACCAAGCACAATATCAGTATCGAGTCTTTGGACAGAGATATTGACTTGTGAGCGGTACTCTTGGCGTAGTGATCAAACATTGATGATAAAACAACGTGTCAATCAATAAACCTTTCTTTGGACCGATTTATTGATCACACATTAAACCAAATAATCGTCACACGTTTATCACCACAGGTGCACGTGTATTCGGCTAAATATTGACCTTCTTTTGGACCGACCAATATTCCCATGAATAACACGTGCACAAACACTTTTTAACATTCTAAATTAGTCAATTTTCAC